ATTGGCTTCCTGACGATACCCAAGACGCAAAGCGCACGTTGGGCCGTCGCTGTCTTTGTAAGCTCGCCCTGCCGTCTCTTCCATAAATCATCTCATACTGATTTATACTTGGTATAGACTGTACTCTGGAACTTCGTGTACGTTCCCATTCCTATCAGACGATCCGTCGGTCTACTTTCAGGGTGCTAACCCACGTTTCTTGTTTCTATGCAAAGTGGCCCAATCGGATACGTCATCCTCGCCGAAGCCCCCTCCGAGAAGCTCCGCACAACGGCGTCGTACAACTGCTACGAGGGGCACGAGGAGGGCGGTGTTCAACCTGCCGCTTCCCAAGAGGAGCGAGAGAAGCATTAGCATTCAACACCTAAGTTATGTCTTGCGTCATTGGCGGATTCAAGTTGACATGTGCCCCTTAGAACGTTTGTTTTGGACCCTCGGGAAAGCCACAAGCCACTAACACTGACGTATGATTGCCGTATGTGCATCCACCCATCGCTTGTTGAGAATTGCGCATGTGCTTTGACTGACGCGCATTCCTTTCAGAATCACTGAAAGGCCTTTCCGCACGTAAGGTTTGCCGTCATATATAACTATCGCAAGCCTACGGACTGACCCGAACCATGGAAACAGCTGGTACGAGTTCGCTCAAGCTTGTCAAACGTATGGGATCCGTCGAGGCGCTCATACGCTCACTAATCCGCGAGCCACGTGAACCACATGTAACATCCATGCCAATCGTCACTGCCACGTCATACATCCCCCTAGAAAGGTTCTACCATGCGCCACAGGCCGAACGGACGGACCAAACAAACCATCACAAGCGACGGTTTACAATCTTCGCACCTTCCAGGTTCACTTTTCTTTTGACGCCCATTTTCGATCGAGCCTCACTTTAGCATACCTGTGGTAACCCTTCGTTCGTTCGTTCGTTCGTTCGCAGACTTTGTGTCTGTTTCAGGTCGACTTTGTGTCGTCCTTAGCTGTTGGAAGACTTTGTGTCTCCGGTTGGTTGATTTTGCATCGCCAAGATTATCGATCTCGCCATCTACTACATACATCGTTTCCTCTTCTGTCCCTCTTCGGGTCTCCATTCACGTCAAGTTCTCTTCTATTGCTTCAGTCCTATGATTACCAGGCGCCAAAAGCAGGCTGCACAGACAGCTGCCGCAGCGGAACGGCCTGTAGACAGCGCTGTTGGGACGTCTAATGAGCGCGTGTTGCCAGCCGCAAGAGACCTGCCCAGCCTCTCGTCGAGAAGAAAGCTAAGCGCAAGAAGGCGTCTGCAGAGCCGTTGGAAGTTTTAGCGCCGACTATCCAAGCCGGTAAGGCTTTTATCATTATCTACTAGTCTTTTACTCACGATCGTTATCAGAGCCTGAACGCAGACAAGATAATGCATTGGGGACCACGCCTGCTACTACCGGTGAGGTGTTCATGTCTGCTCCATATTTTGTTGCCTGAACATTTGATAACAGAAACTAAAGGAGCAGAAAAAAGCGCGCCCGTGCCTCTGGCCAAGGCCGACGCTACGGAGCAAGCACCCGTCCCACCTGGTGAGGCGTCTACAATTACATGTAGTATAGGGATCTAACCGGCGTCAACAGAATCCAAGAAACCAGAGGAGACCACCCCGCCCGTGCATCCGACGCAAGCCGACGCTACGGAGCAATCGTCCGCTCCAGCCGGTGAGCTACTTGACTACATATTTTTGTACTTTCATTGACCGCTGTCTTCAGGATACAATAAGACCAAGAAGAAAACCCCGCTCGTACCTTCGGCGCAAACCGGCACCACGGAACAAGCGCCCGCTCCATCTGGTGAGGTATCAGTACCTCTGAGTTGACCCAGTACCTGACCGGCGTTCACAGACTCCAAGAAGGTTAGGAAGAAGAAACCGCCCATGCGTCCGACGCAAAGCAACACTACGGAGCGAGCGCCCGCTCCATCCGGTGAGGCATCCGTATTTATGAATAGTATAGGTATCTAACAAGCGTCCACAGAATACAAGAAACCTGAGAAACTTGCGCCCGTACCTTCGACGCAAACAGAAACTACGGTCCAAGTGCCCACTCCATCCGGTGAGGTCCTCGACTATATGTATTCGTACTTTCCTTGACCGTCGTCTTCAGAGTCCACCTCCCAAACCGACTTGGCTCTTCCTAGCTCTGATCCCCGTACGTTTACTTTCACTTCGAGACACTGATCGCTACTAAACTAAGTAGTCCGAGAGCATATGCAGGGTAGAGAGCACTCGCAAGAAGAGGCTGAGGTAATTGATGTGCTGATGAGTGAGCCTGATTACGATAGTGAGCTCACGGCTGCGGGTTATCCTTCAACTCTCGAATTATCGGAGATATTCACGGAATCGTACTTCATACAACCGTCGAGGGAAGAGGAGGACGGCAATGCTGAGGGAGAGCAACCTCAAGGCGAGTACAATAATGTGATGATTTTCGTCGGGTTTTCTGACGATTAAGTAGATGGCATACAAGAGTTTAATGACGATTACTTCGATCAACAGTCGCGGGATGAAGACGACGACAAGGCACAGGACCTCTTGAAGGCTTGGTTCCCGGAGCAGGACAAAGGCAAGCTCGCCGGATTGACTGCTCCTGTACTGCTTGCTGACGCTATAACAGGCACGGAAGGGGTGTTTGGGGACGACTACTTCGACCAACAATCGCGGGACGAAGACGACGAGAATGCACAAGCTATGTTAAAGGGGTGGTCCCAGGAGGAACCCAATGGTGAGCTCGATGTTAGCGCCATCGCTGAGATTTCTCTTTCTGATCATTTGCTAGGCGACAAAGATATCCCTGCTGCCCCCTCAGACGACGCGCCAACGGTTCGTGACGGCGCCGATGAGCCATCACGACATATCCAAAGTGTCAGTCAAGGTCCCCAGGAAGATGGATTTGATCACGATCTCCAGGATCCTACCGAGAGCAACCTCGGCGAGGACGTCGATATGCCTGAGGGTGCCCCTGTCATCCCTTCTATCGATGAGATGCTAGCATTAATCACGGAAACCACCGGTGAAGAACCTTGCATGTCACCAGAGCGCACTCGAGGACCGATCTCTCAAGAAGATATCATGCGGCTAGGCGTGGTAGGGGAGAAGTTGCTGACTGTCGTGAAGTGGTGGTGCCGTTATCTCAACAAGGACATCGACATTATACTCACTCATATGGGACTCGGCGAGAGTACTGCTCGTGCCCCTTCATTATACAACCAATTCATGAGCTGGTTTGCTGCTTTCTCCGAGTCTCCCAAAGGTTCGTCCATCCGTGACGCTTGTAGTGACATTATCCTAATCGTCCCTTAGTGCCTTTCGACGAGTGGCAGAAAGAGGGTGGCCGCCAATATCAAGAACTCAAATCCAATCTGGAAAGCCAGGATTCAGCTACGCGAACCAAGGCTGAGGCCACACGCCACGAAGTTATTCGTCACTATGAAGACGTTAACTCTACGACCGGATCTTACGAGATGACAGACAACGCTGTGAAGAGACGGGTCACAGCTGAGGCCGGACGTTATTCCAAATCCGTGAGTGGCTATTTTATTGGCATGGACTTCAGCTCAAACCTGTCACTAGGCCAAAATGACTGCAGCGATGGGAGACATGGATGTCATCGGCGTCGTTCTTCATCGAGGGTGTCCCGAGTCTCTCATAGCTCCGTCTGCGTTCTTTGCGTCGTCGCAGGCACTGATGCGCCTATTCTCCGACACCCACGGCGTGAACCTCACAGCTGTGCTCCATTATATGTCTAGTGTGGTCGTGTGAGCCTTTCCCCCCCATGTATTGTAGCATGACCTAACTCACCCACTCCCTTATAGGTCGGACACAATCAAGAAAAACCTTACTATCCCACATCCGGACGTGTTCAAGACCCCGATTTCCGAGAAGAAGACTCCTGCAACCAAAAGCGCAGCACGATCCGAGGCCTCAGGGGGTGCAGCCAACGCGGCCGGCGGAGAAGACGCTACTAGTAACAACGCGGAGGACGACGCCGGCGCCGTAGTCGCAGATGAACGCCCGCCTACTGTCAGAGATGACTTGCGTAAGGTGTTTACGAAGCAGGTCAAAGCGAAGTTTGGTATGTCCTTCCGTTAGATCTTCGGTACAATTACTAACACTCTACAGCGGCCATCGGGCAAAAGATCAGCTCAAAAATGTATTGGACGAAAATTCTCGACTACTGCATCATTCACCGAGTTTTCGTCGACCTGTTCCCGCATACGCTTACCACCCACGTCATGGGCAATCCCAAGTGGGACTATGTGACTTATCGAACGTGTCACCTGTGGGCACTCTGCCGTGGGGGATACGACCAGGAAGTTGATGATCCGACGGGCGAACTGAAGAGATGGGGAACACATGATTGGCTCCTGTTGAAAGAGGCTGTGAAGAATGGAAATGGCAACGGCGAGACGCTCGACGACCTCGAGTACGCGTCTTGCTGGAGCCTTGAGCCCTGGACGGACGGTGCGCGGAACTCAGTTTGTATATCAAATGTTAGCAACTGACTAATCTCTAGATACGATCGCCGACTGGGAGGATTTCGACGCCAGGGACTCAGTAGTCCTCGTTCGTTCTCGCGATGGCGAAAGCCTTGTGACAGTGGCCGATGCACGCAAATGGCTGAAGAAGCTACCTAGTCCCAAGTTGCCAAAAGGAATGACGAAGTCTAAGGGTAAGGGTAAACAGAAGGGTACGCAAGTTTCACTTGCAGGATTTGATGCTCTACTTACCGATCGCAGCCGATATTTCACCAACTAGTCCGGCAAAATTATCCCCTACCGCGCTACAAGATGATAACGTCGATCCGAGTAACGCGAGCACAATTGTACAGCGTCCTCGACCTCAGCAACGAACAGAGCTGGTGTCCCACATCCACTCTCCCGTCGGCGAGATGCCCGGAGGCAGCAGTCGACAATCTGCAGGTGATGAGGCGCCAGCGCGTATAGGTGAAGTAACAGCGGTCAATGAAGCCACCGTACCTGCTTTACAACCCGACGGTATGCATGACCCTTCCTCCCCAATCAGCGCACGCTTGCGACGCCGTCGCCCGTCCTCACCCTCCGCGACTGGCCGTTGGGACCTATCTGACGGCGATGACCATGTCGACGAGGCGCCTCCTTTAGAACAGCAAGCTGCCAATCATTCAGCTCGCCCGCCAGCATTGAGTAATTCGCGAAGACCGCGCAGCAACTCAGTCATCGAGCTTTCCCCCCCGTCGTCTGCTCGTTTTCGTTCCGCCAACGCCTCGACTTCGCGAAGTCAGGTGGTAGCGTCCCACGCGCACGCGCCTCTTGTTCGACCGAATCAGAATCGTGCCATGCGGGGGAGGACCGGTGCTCAAGCTCGTCCACAGCCTAGCCCTCCCTCGACTTCACGCGGACGTTTAGCGCCTTCGACGCAGTCGGGAGGCAATGGTGCACCTATGCGAGGGACAGCTAATACTCAAGGTCGCACGCGCGTAGCAGGCTCATCCTCCAGTTCATCAAGGGTGCGTCGGGAGCGCGATGGATGGGCTCGCATGCAAGCCCAAGGCGGTGGGATATTCAGCCAGTATCCACCCAGCTTCCCGGGATATGGATTTGGAGGATTTCCGGGTTACCAGCAAATGATGGCACCTCCAGGGTACGTGTCGTGTAACGTTCCCATAAACTTCAGCTTAGTGGCGTTCCATTTCAATTCAGGTTTCCATTCTACCCGTCAGGGGGGAGTATGGGCCCTATGCAACGTCCCCCAAGGCGCAATCAGCCCGAGATGATGCTGCAGCCATCTAGATCCCGTCAAAACACTGTGCCAAGTCAGGCCATGCCACCCCAGCGCCGTCAAAGGGCGCGGCCAGAGGACCTCGATTATGAGCCCGATGCGTTAGAGGAGGATGACGAGTGAATCGTGTACGTGTATGCTCACATGTACATCCAAGTTCGATCGCTTATGGTTTTGCTGTTGGCTGAGCTAGTTGGCTGTTTCATTGCTTCTGCGGACTCTTTGTAATACTCTATGTCTAGTTATGATGTTGTTGTTACGATTCGTATATTTCCCTTCTGTGTAGTATTATGTTCACGCATCTAATGCATGATCATTGTGTTCAGTGATGTAATAGTGTTGAATGACTATGTCAGATTGATGTTTCTGTGAAGATACAAGGATTGATAATTCCGTTGTGAAGCAGTCAAGGTGTGGTAGTAAACTCATGCACATATCCCCATGCACCGATTTTGATACCAATGATGTGATGTGTAAAATGCTATACCACCCATGGACAGAGAACCCTTGACCAGATGATTCGAGCTTATTGACAAGTCTTTAGATACAAGCCCTATATGCCATGGGTAATGCACGTTGGATGTTTCTATTGCCCATGGGTGATGCACACTGACATTGACATGTGCTATAGTTGGTGGGAGCTGTCCAAAGGTAAATGTTTAGTAACATGGGAGATACATCCAGTTATGGCTATCATCCATGGGCAATTGTATTTTTCTGGTTTGTTGATTCCATAATTCACCTATTTTTGTGGGCAAACATGAGGAAAAATGTGATGTGCCAGTAGCAGAGGATAATGAATGCATTGGCCTGACCACCCATGGAGGGATGCAATGAGCCTTGTGTTATCATATTGGCAGACCAGTACCAATATCAAGATGTTTCAGCGCCCATGGGAGGATGCATCATATTAATGGTATAATTGTCTATCCCCCATGGTGGGGTAGGACTGCCCACGGGCCCAACATCTGCCCAGCTCCGTAATATACATCAAGCTGTAGTATCCATGGGGTGATCTTTTGAGTGGTTCACATTCGTTGGCTCACCCATGGGACTTAAAAGTGTCTTGCTTTATCGCGATTTGGACCATGGTAGGACAATGAGATTAGTAAATATTGAAACATTCCACCAATGGTGCTCACTGTAAATGGTGTGAACCTCCATCGCCCATGGGGTGTTGGTGGGTAACACACCATATCAGAGCTACCTCCCATGGGGCACTCATTTGTAGTGGACTGTAGATGGTGGGCATTTAATACATCGAGAAAAGTAGGCCTTGCTTACATTTGTAAATTTGGCAGCAATGTACCATAGGTGCTACTTGTACAAGGAAGCCCTTGCTCTGCTCCAGCACTTATGATGAGGAAAAGCTCATCTTGGATAGTGAAACAGCTTGTTGACTCTGTGGAGTGCCCATAGATATCTGCTGTGTGGTGCCAGTATTGTATATAGATATCAAGCACTAATGTCAAAGCAGGATATGTACAGGAGCAACAGGGCACCAAACTTGTACAATGCCAAGTAGCACATAATTTTTAATATACGAGTGACTACAGTCACCATGGGCTAATAATCTAGGATTTATGGTTGGTACAAAAGAAGTGTGTATATGCTGTAGCCTCCATGGGATATCTGTGCACATAACACTGCACCTGTGGGGCAACAATACACATCCTGTAGGCCCCGTGGGGAAGGCATGTAAATGATGCAGTCTCCACGGGCTAATAATCTAGTATGTATGGGTGCTACAAAAGAAGTACGTGTATGCTATAAACCCCATGGAATGTTTGTGCACGTAATGTTGCACCTGTGGGGCAACAATACACATCCTGTAGGGCTGTGGGGGATGCATGTAAATGATACAGTCTCCACGGGCCAATAATCTAGGATTTATGGTTGGTATGAAAGAAGTATGTGTATTCTGTAGCTGCCATGGGGCGTCCATGCAGATAATGTTGCACCTGTGGTGCAATAATACGCATCCTATAGGGCCCATGGGGGAGGCATGTAAATGATACAGTCTCCACGGGCTTACAATTGAATATTTATGGATGCTACAGGAGAAGTATGTGTATGCTGTAGCCCCCATGGGAGGCCCGTTGATATAATGCTGCATCTGTGATGCAATAATATATATACTGTAGGGCCCATGGGGGATGTATTAAATGTTGTAATCCCCATGGAGCAGCGGTGGTTGATATGCAGCTGCCACCGGGGGAACCAGGGATATCATGAGTACCCATGGGAGACCCATGCATAATTTGTTTACACCCATGGGCGACAGATGTGGTGTCTGTAGCCCCCCTGGGAGAATTATGTGTCTTTCATGGATGCCATGGGGCATCCACAGATACCATGCAACTTCCATAGGAGAATAAAGTGTAATTGTAGATCCACCACAATATAGCTGTGGTTATCATGCAATCCCCATGGGAGGCTCATATCTTTTTCACTGACATAGTGAAGCACCCATATATATTCCATAGCCTTTCTGGAGCAACTGCATATGTTCCATAGCTGCCACAGAGCAATCACATGGCTCGAACTAAGTATGTGTACTGTCCATGGTGCTGATATGTAATATGTAATTGCATCCATCAGGTCTTGCCATAGCAATTCTACCACCCATGGGCATTCATTCTCATGTCTCCAAGTTCCACAATAGACTGTAGAATAACTTGATTGGCTGTGGTGCTTTCCTGATATGTTATGTAGCCTCCACAGAATGCTGGGATTGACTTTTCTAGACCCCACAAGTATTTATGCATTTTTGTGTAGTGCCCGTGGTCGGCAGCAAGTGCTTTTTTTTACCCCATTAGTAGAACTCAAGTAATGAACAAGCTGCCATGGGCTGTATCTACATGGGTGATAGCACCCACAAGTGTGTCACACAGTTTTAATCAATACCCATGGACTCTATTGGTCTAGAATTGGATTGTTTCATTCACTCATGGGCCAAACATATTGTGCACAGGGTCCACGGATCTAATTAATTGCATCATGGCCTTACCGTGGAAGGAACATGAGTGTGGAAAACATCCATGGCGCCATAAACCTAAAGCTTGCAACACCCATGGGTGATAATGACACATCAATGCTGACCCATGGGCTTGAAAGTGCTGTTAAAGACACGCAATTTAGTGCAGAACTGTGTCTGGATTGTATACCATACCATTTAAAATGGGCTAAAATGGGCGCAAATTAGCAGTGGGCGTGTCCAAATGTAGCACAAATTCAGCAGCAAATGGGTGGGCCACTTGCTCCATCTGGTGCTTACATGATCTCCTTGTGTGGTTGGTGGGTACAAAGTTTGGTATTTAATATTTGATTTGCTTTTGTAAAGGTTATAGAAATACAGCTGCTATGTCTATATGAGGGTGTCTCCTCACCTGCTAAGTTCACCACCTCAAGGACTCCTGCCACCCTGTACCAAGCGCCATGGGTCCTAATGACTACCCCAACCAGGCATGGTACCACTGCTATGGCATTCTACCATGGTGCATTGCTCACCAAACCCATGGTAGGAAGCCACTATGAGACTCACATTTTGTGGTATTCACCACCACTAAGGACATCATCTACCATAGAGTGCCCGGTGTACCATCGGAGTGGGCCTCTAAGACATATTAATTTTCAAGTATAAAAAGCCTTAAAGATTTGTAAAAGGGGGGGACTGAAGTG